ATAAGTTACTAACCTCCTAAAGGAGAGTTGCAAATGGTACAGATAAAGGAATCCATGAAATACAGGTCGACAGTGACTCCGAATCGTCATTTAAGTGAAAGTCCAGTTAAACGCAGACGTTTGTCAGTCGTTAGTTCACGCGTATGAGTAGAGGAAGACGTCTAAGTTTTCTTGAATCAATACATTTGTTATTTGATTCACGTAACTATTTCCAGACAAAAGAAAACAACCTACGAGATACACTCAATGTCATACATCCTTGATGGATGATTACGTGCGTGCAGGCAATCAGCCTTCACATATCAACGCCGATCAACATAAGAAATGAATGATGAAAACCCATATAATATATTCATTCGTTTTCATTTCTCATTGATGTATCACGTGCAAGATGAAATATCGTGAGGGTTTTAGGGAAGCCAGAGGTGCATCAGAGGACTCCCGCCTTCCACCGAAAGGTTGAGGGGAACCATCTTCATTTTCCTGGATCCCTAGAACCAACTCACATGCTGTACGAAGTGACCCGAAGCTGATTCTCGATCATCTGAAACAGCTCGGCCGGCTTGGGAAGGCGACCGGACTCCAGCTTCGACCAGACGGGGACGTCGTTCAGGGTCACCTCGAACGCTCCAGTGGAGACCAATTGGGTCTCGATGAAGTTGCCGATGAAGAATGTCATGAGGATCGCATATATCTTGGAGTTGACAAAGAACTGATACCAGATGGGGGTGGGGATGCCGAGGAAGGGGAACGGATTGATGCCCGACAGGGTCATGATGATGATCGCAAACTTGATCATCGTCATCAGTCGGGCCAGGTACATGCGAATCGTAGGAGGCGGGAAGTAGTCTCCCTCGATGACCAGTTGCGGGTACCTCTCGTGGAGGAGCTCCGTGTACTGCTCAAAGAGGCGCTTGTAGCCTCAGGACACGCAGTACATGACGCGCAGGGTGGGACCCATGAGCCGGTTCAGGTTGGAGGAGAGGGGTCGACGCGGGACCTCCACGTTCGGTTCCAGGTCCGGTTTCGCGTCGTCGTCCTTCGAGTGGGGGACGTCCTCCCCAAACAATCCTAGGTCCTTCAGCGTGAATAGTACAGATATTCCTACTATACACAGGAAGACTGTCCACTGCACACCTTCTGCCATCTTAGCCCCTGTCCTCACATCATATCACTAATAAAGACACGGCAACATAGATCTGCATGGACAGGCAATAAAACGTTCTTCAATTTCACTTCGACCTGTAGATTCCGACAAAATAACATTCTACGACTCATACCTGCATCATTGAAACTATAATATAAACTAATTCCGGGCCTGCCCCCTCCCTGTCTATGCTTGTGCCCATACTTGCCTGAAAGCCCTTGAACACTGAACAGAGAAATATAACGAAACAGTAAATATTAAGATACCAGCGTTTTAAGTTAGCATCAACGGTAATACTGAAATCAGTGAAGGGGAAGCGTCTCAACATAGACTCAACAATCTGGAAGATCACACCAAAACGTACCACCATATTATAACTTACAGAGGGTGGGCATGAAGTGAGAAATAATACAACTTTTGGGATTTCCTTTCCTAACAAGCATGAGTGACTCAATAAATCCATTACACAATGCAGTATCTGTTGCCTTCAACACGTTCCCTGCAACAGTAAAACTGACTACAACTAATTACATGTGGAGTGACCCAATAGTGGGTCAATCTGCTGGGAATGTGTTAATTTTCAAGTTTTCTCCAGATTTCTGCATCACTGACAGCAGTGCCAAGGCTCAACAGCCTGGCAAGAGTACTGTTATAGTAAAATAAAAGAGTACAGATCAAGCAAAAAATTTCTCCTACCTCATTCTGATTACTATTTTCTTTTCAAGCTCCACTTTCTATGCATTTTATGAAAAAAAGGAATTTCCTTTCAAGCAGCAAAGGTTTTGCACGCCAAATCACATATAACAAAGTTTAAATAAAAAAGACGGCATGAGGCAAAGAGGACAAAGAAGGAACAAAATGTATTGGCCAATACACATCTTCATGGCTTATCATGGTAGATATGTTGTGTTCCTTCTGTCCTCCCTTTCACATTATTTTTTAATGAACTTATTTGTATTCTATTCCTCCCAATGGGGAGGCTCAACAAGAAACCCAGAAACTGTGCAACAAGTAACACAAAAACATTTCTTCTGGCAATGCAACTTGGGTACAACTCATGTTTTATTTAGTCCAATACAAAAATAAACAACCACAGGCTTTCCTTCAGTGCAAGTGCCAATGTCCAGGAAACTGGAGGGTTTTGTGATCACAATATATATATATACAGTGAGAGCACCATTATGGTGCCATGTGAGCAAGATCAAGTTTAAGGAATTATCACAGCAATGAACACAACGCTCAAACTGCACACCACTAATTAGGCACACAACTAAGAAACAAAGACCGAAGGGAAATTGATGTATTGAGAAAGTGTTAACTTAGGAACATTACAGATTCAATACCTACTTATTTCTGAGGTTTTATCCCATGTGAAAGGAGGAAAACACAGTACAGAAAGAGATATCAAAATCTCTGGGCAAAATGTTCATTTCGATTTTGGAGCAGGGCACTGCAAGGAATCCAGATCAAGATTATGGTTGGAAGGCATTTACTGCCTAGACAAATCAGGGAATTCATCAGGCAGAAGAGTGTGCTGATTGCAGAGGGGGCATGTTGATTGTTGCTGGAACCACTGGCGAATGCACTGTAACAGATGAAATAAAACATAATAAGAAATACAAATGGACTGAAAATCTGCACAATCAAATCAGAATGATTTCCCATATGAATGCAAATTTTCCATTGGGTGTAACTGTGAACAACTTAGTAGTCGGACAACCCTGCTGGTGAGTGTCATGGCGGCAGCCTGTTCATGATCGCTCTCTTTTTAAATTTGACTTGAACGTGATTTGACCATAATCCCGATACATTGGACTACCTGATTCTGCCCGTATTTCCCNTGAAAACCCATATAATATATTCATTCGTTTTCATTTCTCATTGATGTATCACGTGCAAGATGAAATATCGTGAGGGTTTTAGGGAAGCCAGAGGTGCATCAGAGGACTCCCGCCTTCCACCGAAAGGTTGAGGGGAACCATCTTCATTTTCCTGGATCCCTAGAACCAACTCACATGCTGTACGAAGTGACCCGAAGCTGATTCTCGATCATCTGAAACAGCTCGGCCGGCTTGGGAAGGCGACCGGACTCCAGCTTCGACCAGACGGGGACGTCGTTCAGGGTCACCTCGAACGCTCCAGTGGAGACCAATTGGGTCTCGATGAAGTTGCCGATGAAGAATGTCATGAGGATCGCATATATCTTGGAGTTGACAAAGAACTGATACCAGTTGGGGGTGGGGATGCCGAGGAAGGGGAACGGATTGATGCCCGACAGGGTCATGATGATGATCGCAAACTTGATCATCGTCATCAGTCGGGCCAGGTACATGCGAATCGTAGGAGGCGGGAAGTAGTCTCCCTCGATGACCAGTTGCGGGTACCTCTCGTGGAGGAGCTCCGTGTACTGCTCAAAGAGGCGCTTGTAGCCTCAGGACACGCAGTACATGACGCGCAGGGTGGGACCCATGAGCCGGTTCAGGTTGGAGGAGAGGGGTCGACGCGGGACCTCCACGTTCGGTTCCAGGTCCGGTTTCGCGTCGTCGTCCTTCGAGTGGGGGACGTCCTCCCCAAACAACCCTAGGTCCTTCAGCGTGAATAGTACAGATATTCCTACTATACACAGGAAGACTGTCCATTGCACACCTTCTGCCATCTTAGCCCCTGTCCTCACATCATATCACTAATAAAGACACGGCAACATAGATCTGCATGGACAGGCAATAAAACTTTCTTCAATTTCACTTCGACCTGTATATTCCAACAAAATAACATTCTACGACTCATACCTGCATCGAGACTATAATATAAACTAATTCCGGGCCTGCCCCCTCCCTGTCTATGCTTGTGCCCATACCTGCCTGAAAGCCCTTGAACACTGAACAGAGAAATATAACGAAACAGTAAATATTAAGATACCAGCGTTTTAAGTTAGCATCAACGCTAATACTGAAATCAGTGAAGGGGAAGCTTCTCAACATAGACTCAACAATCTGGAAGATCACACCAAAACGTACCACCATATTATATATTATAACTTACAGAGGGTGGGCATGAAGTGAGAAATAATATAACTTTTGGGATTTCCTTTCCTATCAAGCATGAGTGAAACCCAATAAATCCATTACACAATGCAGTATCTGTTGCCTTCAACACGTTCCCTGCAACAGTAAAACTGACTACAACTAATTACATGTGGAGTGACCCACTAGTGGGTCAATCCGCAGGGAATGTTAATTTTCAAGTTTTCTCCAGATTTCTGCATCACTGACAGCAGTGCCAAGGCTCAACAGCCTGGCAAGAGTACTGTTATAGTAAAATAAAAGAGTACAGATCAAGCAAAAAAATTCTCCTACCTCATTCTGATTACTATTTTCTTTTCAAGCTCCATTTTCTATGCATTTTATGAAAAAAAAAAGGAATTTCCTTTCAAGAAGCAAAGGTTTTGCATACCAAATCACATAGAACAAAGTTTAAATAAAGAAGATGGCATGAGGCAAAGAGGACAACGAAGGAACAAAATGTATTGGCCAATACACACCTTCATGGCTTATCATGGTAGATATGTTGTGTTCCTTCTGTCCTCCCTTTCACATTATTTTTTAATGAACTTATTTGTATTCTATTCCTCAGAAAAAGGGGAGGCTCAACAAGAAACCCAGAAACTGTGCAACAACACAAAAACATTTCTTCTGGCAATGCAACTTGGGTACAACTCATGTTTTATTTAGTCCAATACAAAAATAAACAACCACAGGCTTTCCTTCAGTGCAAGTGCCAATGTCCAGGAAACTGGAGGGTTTTGTGATCACAATATATATATATACAGTGAGAGCACCATTATGGTGCCATGTGAGCAAGATCAAGTTTAAGGAATTATCACAGCAATGAACACAACGCTCAAACTGCACACCACTAATTAGGCACACAACAAAGAAACAAAGACCGAAAGGAAATTGATGTAATGAGAAAGTGTTAACTTAGGAACATCACAGATTCAATACCTACTTATTTCTGAGGTTTTATCCAATGTGAAAGGAAGAAAACACGAAGTACAGAAAGAGATATCAAAATCTCTGGGCAAAATGTTCATTTCGATTTTGGAGCAGGGCACTGCAAGGAATCCAGATCAAGATTATGGTTGGAAGGCATTCACTGCCTAGACAAATCAGGGAATTCATCAGGTAGAAGAGTGTGCTGATTGCAGAGGGGGCAAGTTGATTGTTGCTGGAACCACTGGCGAATGCACTGAAACAGATGAAATAAAATATAATAAGAAATACAAATGGACTGAAAATCTGCACTATCAAATCAGAATGATTTCCCATATGAATGCAAATTTTCCATTGGGTGCAACTGTGAACAACGTAGTAGTCAAACAAGGTCAACTTAGTCTCCAACAATGCTGAGGAAATTCTCATTTCACTTCTTCATAATTTTGTTTAGTACCACAACCATAAACTAGCAGGGAGCTTCCTATGAAAACTATGCACATCACATTTTCAGGCATTAGTAGTAATTTTGACTTGCACAAACATCTGATGCTTCAAGTTGCATTCATGTGATGCAAACTTAATAAAGATACAAGTAAAAACTAGGAAGTCAAGATGAATTTGCTCAAAAAAAACATGCTGATGAGCTTCACAAATTCATTTTCAACATAACTTGCTTTAGGAACTGCCTTTGTAACATCTCATGGAAAAGGAGATCTACAGAACTTACAGAATGGTGATAGGAATGTCTGCATTTAAGCATGATGTTTGGCTTGAGATGCATGGGTTCATAGCAAATGGAGCATTCGTCTGTGGGATCAGGACCTGTATATGACCGCTTGCTAAAAGAATTTGGTGACAGATTACCAGAAGTCAAGCTTGGAGAGCGGGAGGAACCACTGAGACCTGAAAAGATAGACATGTACTGAAGTGTCATTCAATGCCTTTAAGACAAATATAAAACCAAGAAAAGAATAAATATGGCTACGGGAAAGCTGTATCTTCTGCAGCTGCTTCGCCACCTCGCTCACAATCTGATCAAGTGGAAGGTTGGCCAGAGGCATCTCTCGACGCACTGACTGTAATGCCAACTTGATGTCAGAACTGAAAAAGGGGTATTCAAATGTTGAAATAAGCATATACACATATATACTCTTTTCGGGGACACTAAGGGATGATAAGTCAAGATGGAATATCCCCAATGATAAGTAAAAGGAATTACAATTGGCAATAAGGCTGTCTACTGATGTGATTTGAAAGGTTGGCTGCAAGAAAATGACATTACATGGCAAAAAATCTTCTCACAACCCTGATAATGAGGCATAGGGGGATGGTACCCAAGTTCAGAATTGTCCTGAGTGCTGCCTTCATTAATAACACACAAATTGCAAGGAAACCACACAGCTGAATGCCGTGTGCAGGGAAACTGGAATAGGAGTGTTTCCAAGGTCATAATTTTGCATTTCTTCATGAGAATCTCAAATGACTTATTACATCTGTTGCTGCCTGCTAACCCCTTTCCTTAATGTCCCTGACAAGTTTCCAGTAAGCTTTTCATTAACAAAATAATTAAGGACTTGAAATGAAATACCCGAGAATCAAGGTCTACCTCAATGCCCATAATGGACACATTCATATGGCTACACTGCTAATTGGAGGTTGTAAGCTGAAGCTGTGGGTGACGTTCCCATGCTCATACAGTACAAGGGAATGCTCAATGTAAAATAGACAGAAGTACCAAACACACCATAGCTGGCAGATGAGGCTGGTTGCCCAACAACAGGTTTAAACCTCTCCAATAGAACTTACTTTCAATGGTATCAATTTGTTTCTCACCAAGGGCCCTGCTGCTGGAGGAGCCTTGGTCAGGACTAGGACTGCCACAATGCATGGATGTATTGATGTCACAATCAAGAATTCTGGTAAATTTAAAAATGCTTTCAAAACAGCCATGATAACCCTAACAGGACACCACATATTTTCATGTTAATCTGGCACCAACTACATATACCATATCCATTTTGGATATTAGCATGATTCTTCATAAGCAGAGAAATGGAAATCAAGGTTAACTGAGCATGAAAATTAAACAATCCAGCACCCAGACAGGTAGCTAAAATGAATGACTCAGAAAATGAACGCACGGAAGGTATTGAGGAAGCTTCTTCTGCAGGTATTCTATGAGACGATCTAGCTTGGTCTTTGTTGCAGCTGCACCAGCCTTGGCAGGAGCAGCTTGCATGCTGGCAACAATGGTGGATGTAGAGACTGATGGTTGGGCTGTACCTGCTTTGGTGAGGGATCCCTTGCTAAATGAACACAAGAGGAAATTATTTTTTGGCATGGAAAGTTCATTTGTAATAAAAATGGCAAATAAATGGTGGCAACCAAAAAGCTAGCCCTTCAAATCTCAGAGATAAAAAAATGAGGAAATGGTTAACACAGTTGTTGCCACAATAAAATAATATATAAATTATTTTGCATCAACCAGTCAATATACATCTATATGAAAACATGGGAAATAGGATTATGATGGGAGAGAATAAGTCAGTGGTTTCTGCAGTTACAAAGCTACAATGCCTGTTCCCTTCCTCTTTGGATCTCCTCTGCAGGAGCCAGTGGGCCAAAGGCACCCAAGAATAATTTTTTT